AAGGTGCTGGTACAAGTAATCTGCATCCCTTGGCCGACTGTACGCGAAAATTCCACACCTCTTTAAGCCACGTCGTCCGAAAACACACAAAATGAAGCTACAGAGCACAGTCAGGTACAAGCTACGCGGCTGGAATACAGACCTCTATCTGCTGACACTGAGAACATCCCCCTGTCTTTTCTACGCATCGCAACCAACGTCCTACCCGCACGGGCGCCCACACTCAGGAGACGGTGGAAAACCCAGATTCTTAATTACACTCACCCTCTTACTAACCCCATTCATTCGTCCCCCCCACAACCTGACGATTATATAAATGCTGCAATAAAATGACCATTTTTATCCCCCATGTCATGTACCGGCCTGATGCTGAATGATTGAAAACAGTTGTTTTGCAATACGACTTTTCAATAGATAAATGGAAATTTTCGCAGACCTGATTGTAGTGTGTAGTCTTAACTGTTGTAACGGAAGCCTATGTCGAGATATCACCACCAATAACGTCTTGTGTGAGTCCGCAAACGAAGAACACGACAAGAAGTGTGCAACAGCAGAAGTCTTTTAGTGTAATCGGTACAACGTGTTTAGGACAACAGCGCATGTAACACGATGTCCATTGAGTCCATCAGCTCCTCTCCTGAAATAGTCGCCGGTATTATTGGCTGTTGGCTCAGTGAGTGAACGTAACTAGAAAGTCAAATTATTGATTGATTTTCTAGCCCAGTGCTTTAGCTCACACGTAGGCCGAGCGATAGCCTATTGTGGACGCGGCTACTTGCTGCCACTATGCCAGCCGTTGGGTTTCTCCTAACAGTAACCTATAAGGAGATATTTGTAAACTCAAGTTTAAACAAAGGTATATGTAATAAGAGCTGAAGATCTATCAAGCGCTTAGGTCGGAACAAAGTAACTTGTGCCATTTTTCAGGATACATCTGTTAGAAGAGCTGTGCCTATGCTAAAAGTGCTAGTTACACTAATCGTACTTGCTAAAGCCAGTATGTGGCAAGCTGCAGCGCGGCCTGTACGTGCATGTAGAACGTTTTAACCTAGTTGGCAGTCGTAGCCTGGATGGGAATTTTAGTAAGCTGAAGCTTTAACGGAACGTGTATTTGATAATAGCTGAAGATCTACCATGCATTTTGGTCATAAAAAGTGGCATTTACCAAGCAAATTTTACTAAGAGACCGGAGTATATTTGTGTCTAAACTGATAAATGAAGTTACAGCCAACTAGATTTTAAGGTTAGATATATTAGAATAATGTGTAGCTACAGGGGTATTCATTTATATAGACCCCTGTATGCATTTATATAGACCCCTGTATGCATTGTTATATTTTCGTCGGGCACCAAGGCAAGTGCATTCGCATAAATTCTCCGGATGTTTATGAGTGTGGGTGTATTTCTTTCT